GGGGGGCGGGGCGGGAGAAAGGACCCGGCCCTGACATAGTTGGTAAAGTAGAGGGTCAGCAAACAAGAGGAAGGCCCTCGGCAATATGGACAAGGGCGGCCACAATGGGCTCCACCTGGCGATGACTGTGAGGTGGCGCAGGGCCTGGCCATGCTCCTTTGGTCGTAGGTAGGTCTGCCACCAGTCAGGACCAGCTCAATGGCACCCATTAACAGCTGCCCCATGTTGGCTACGATTCCTTCCGACCGTCCTGCACATCGACAATCCTGGGCATTGTCATCGATTTTTAACATCGGTGCCTCAGACAAAATAAAATAATTTGCTCAAGTTATGTAAGTTAATAGCTCTTAGGAGCCTTGTTAAATATTGACTTGCTATTGAAAAGGTTGGCAGTCCAAACCTGTCAATCACTCCCTAGGAGAAAGTTAAGACAGTTTGCTTCTGTAAGCATTGACAAGCTCACAAGGCCTATGGGCCATTCTACCCTGCAAGACAACAATGTCCATATTTTTCCCATTCATCATGTTTAATATGTCAAAAATCAAAGATGCCTCTTCGACAACTAAGGTATCTATGACCCGGGCCACAATATTTTCAATCTTTTCTTACTCAAGCAAAAGCGTAATGAATAAGGAATGTGGTAGTTATGTAATCTGTTGTTCTACTCTGTCCTCTAGGGTGGCTATGAGGGTCCCACATAACGGGATTCAAATGCAGCTCACAAGCTGGTGGCCTTTTGGTTACAAACTTGATGTGCCTTGGTCGCCTCCTCTGTACAGGCAGATAAAGCCATCAACATTTTACCTTGCAGAGTGGTGAAGATTAGCAGTAACATAAATTATGTAACTAGCAAGAGTATCTGACATTTGGCGGGTGGCTATTATTAGAAAAACTTGCAAATTATAGAAGGTGCGTATAACCAAAGCTGGGAGCTTTTCAATTGTAGTTTTTTTCAGTGCAATTTTCTGCCAGGCAGGAAGGACCATGAGAAACTCCAGCTGTCAGCTCCGGTGAGGTCAGATTATTTTATCGCGTGTTCACGGCACCGCAGGCTGCTGCCTACGGCTGGAGCACACACTAGACTAGAGACCTCAGAGCTGGACACAGCCCCTGTGAGAAACAGGCTGTTCTCCTTAATCAAATGTAGTGTACACCCCCCGAGGCTGCTCATGGCAAAGGAATGCCCACTCTTCTCCCTGAAATTTGGGGACTTTTGACGGTTTCTGTTGGCAGGCAGGAAAGGGCAAGGGGAGGTCATTGTTTCCCTCCTTTGCAATTGGACTCAGTCCTCTCCATTGCCGTTGACTGACCACGGGTACCACAAAGGAGAACTGTTCCCCGGTGCTCTCTTGGCGGTGACACATACATTGCCAGGCTTTTCTTCCGTGGTGCTACTGCCAACGTTCAGGTTAACACTCAGTCACAACGTGCTTGCATCACCAAGGCCCAAACACTGATACTTTAATTTCCCTAGGACATCTGAGATCAGATACAATATCTAAATACATAATATTTGATCTAGAAGTGTTAGATGAAGAAATAAACACACTGATTAACATAGCAGCCTATATGGCATTTAAAAAATGTGACTTGCAGCCCTCATCCCCAAATTTACTAAATGCCAAGCCCATGTCAGTTTCTGGTTGAGTACCCACCAATGAGACTCTCGTCCGGTTGTTGTAGAATGGACGCTAACTCCTGGCAACCCATTTGTATCTGAGGAAGCCTGTGACCTTAGGATTTTCAGTGACTGCGGTCTTAAAACAAGTAGATGGCCAGGCCTGTTTTCCAAGTCACCCCTCCCAGTAAATTTGAACCTCCCACCTTTTGGTCAACAGCCAAGCATCTAACCATTTGCCCCAGGCAGGGGCACCAAGGAAGTAAGCAAGGATGATGTAATATTAGAAAAATTGTCAACACAATCTACCCTCTAAATAAAACAAAGGAAGAGGACCACATGATCATTGCAATTGCCACAGAAAAGCCAGCTGGCAAAATCCAACACCATTCTCGATAAAAGCCCCGGACAATGTAGGAATTGAGGGGAAATCCCTCAACATAAAAAGGGTGCATGTGCAAAGCCAGTGCCAACATCTCCCTCCATGGAGAGGGACAGGAAGCATTCCCCTTGTGAATGGGAACCAGACAAGGGTGCCCTTTATCACCACACCTTTTCAATCGTGTGCTGGGTTATGTTTGTTTCTTTCTTTAGTTGTTTTGTTTTTCTGCCTTTTGTTTGTTTGGTTTTGGGGTTTTTGTTGCTGTTGTTGATCTTGTGGGTGTTTGCTTTTTGTCATAATAGGACCTCCAAAGTCAACCAGAGTTTTTCATGACTGTGTACAAGCAGATGGCTTCTGGATTCCCACTTAACTCTAGCTGAAATCCAAGAACAATTAGTCCTGAAACCATGGCCCTGCTCGATACTCACCTTCATGAAGAGATCACCGAAGATGAGTGCACTGAAGATAGCATGTGGTGAAGAAAGCAGATGGTACCCGGCTATCAATTGGAATCGTGTCTGGGGCTTAAAGGTTTGTATTCAAACAAGCAGCCATCTAAGCGAGGACTCAGCTAAGTCCACATGGAAGAAGCACATCTGCCTTTGTGACCCAAAGGTGACAATGCAAATCCAAATATGATGAAGGAAAAAGTGTCAGAGCTTAAATTGTAAACACCCAATTTGTGGGAGGCTATGGAAGACAGTGGGAGCCCCAAATCCATCTGCCGAGTAAGGAGTCTGATTAAGCCTCTGGCCACAGGCAAGGGTCTCAAGCAGCTGTGCTATCAGACAGAGATTATTGTAAACTTGATTATAGTGGATCAAACCATGCCATAATACGATTGTTGGTCAGCTGATTTCCCTTTTGACTGAAGCTAAATTTGCTCTAGGCTCAAGTATTTCTGGCTTGCTCCATGACAGAAATTTTTTCTCTGGCTTTTTAATGACTGGTAGTGGCCTTTTCTTTCTTCTTCTTTATTTTTATCTTATTATTATTTTCTTCTTGCCATTTTGTTCTTGCTTTTCCTCATTTCTGTTGGGTTTCCCAGTTTGTGAAGTACAGAAAGAATAGATGCATAAAGACAAGAACTGCTGGAATGGTTTATTGGAGATGTGGAACACGGGATGGAGATGGGGAGGGTGGGAGGATTTGGGAGCAAACAATGAATGCAGGAAGGGGGAGGGAGCACCAGAACTGATCGTGATGATGTATATACAACTCATTTTTAAAACTATTTAACCATAGAAATGTATGGCATTTGAATACTCTATCAAGAACATTCGAAAACAGAAAAAAAGAAACCAACCTTGAACAATGGTTACTATGAGTCAAGGAGAAAGAGTTTTTGCTTTGAGGGAAATGAATTTATGTTAATGGTGGTGGAATAATTTGGGAAAGTATATCAATAATGGTTGTATAACATGAAGAGTGTAATCAATCAATGGCACTGAATTACACATGTAGTTGTTGAACTGGAGAATGTTTTGTTGTGTGTAATTTTGCCACAATAGAAAGATAATTACATGAATAACAATGAGTACAAGGAAGAAGAAAATTTTCTAGAATTGAATGTGGTGGTAACTGTACAACTGTTCTTGAGTTGGTTGAATTGTATGACATTGATGAAGTGCTAATTAAACTGTGTGTGTATATATATATGGTTGAAAGGCCTAGCCAGAGCTAAAAGGCAAGACTGGTGTGGCAGTTATATAATCTCCTGTCAACTTGCGAAGGGGTGGAGTCTAGTCTGTCAATCAGGTTGCAGCTTGATGGCCTCATTTGGAGGTGGGAAGGAGATAAATAGCTCCCTGGAGGTGAGACACACCAACCCTCTGCTTTGTATTCCTGATGACAAGACATGTGGAGCTATGCTAGAGCCCTGGAGCTGGAGGACCCCCGTGGAGATGCTTACACCGCCACTAGAGCCACAAGACTTTCCACCCACTGTCCTGTGATCTTCCTGCATCCAGCACCACTGTATGTGTTTCATAAGTCTGAAGAGGAATTTATAGATTGGTATCGGCCTTATGGACTAATATCAGACGTATGGACTTGATCTGGATTGGGCTGGAAATTTTTCTCAATATTCAATTGCTCATATATATAAAGCTCCTTCTTATACATGTATGAGTGTCTCCCTGGATTTGTTTCTCTAGTCAACCCAGACTAACAAAACTGGTAAACCAGAGGCATTCAAATGGCAAAAAAAGAAGTAAAACTCTATTAGCAGATGAGATGATCCTGTAAATTTAAAAATCCCAATAACTGGGCAAGACAATTATTGGAACTCATCAAAAGATTCCACAAAGTGTCAGGATACAAGATCAATATTCAAAAATCAGTTGAATTCCTTTACATTACCAAAGAGAGCTCAGAAAAGGAAATCAGGAAAGCAATACCATTTATACTAACCCCCCCAAAAGATGAAGGGGAATTTAAAATCGAACTTACTACCCTCCAGTCGAGTCCGACCCAGAGCTACACAAAAGGACAGTGTAGAACTGTCCCAGTGGGCTTCTGAGGCTGTAATTCTTTACGGGAATAGAAATCCTTTTCAGAACACCTGGTGGTTTCAAACTAACAACCTTGCTGTTAGCAGCCCGACGCGCAACCAGTACACTGCCTGGGCTCTCAGAGACACTCAACTTCTGAATGTGTTTCGTCATAGCACATTGTTTCCCAAAAAGGGTGGAGGGAGCTATATCCACAGGGTTCAGCCCCCCCCACTCATGCCTGCTAGAGCGGAGGCTGTTTCAACCTTCGTTCTGAGATCACCCATCCCTTCTCTACACACAAGCAGAACGCCGAGGGGAGATGGCATTTTGTTCTACTTGCTTCCTCTGTTCCACTTTCTGAGTGTCTTCTCACCTGAGGACCTGCCCTTCCCTCGAGGGGGAGGGGGAGGGGTGGTGCGGGGTGGCACCACAAGCCCCTGAGCCTGTCAGCGGAGCCCCTGCCCATTCAAATCTTCTCCGAATGCCACACAATATGGAGAACTACATTTTGCCACAGCCTCTGTTTAGAAATATTTGGGGCCTTCCAGCTGTATTGTTTTGATAAACTAAGAAAAACAAGTGATGAGGTGTGTCCATTGGGCTGTGAGGCTGGCTCCCTAAGCACGTGTTGATGGTTGATTGAGGAGAGTAATTTAAGCCAGGCATGGATTGAGGAACCTGGTCCATTGAGGAGAAGGTCACTGGTCCAGGAAGGCCTTCTCATCTGCACAGGCTGTGTAGAGGAGGTATCCAGAGATGGTGGTGGGATCCGCCTACACTTCAGATGCCACCATCATCGTCATTGTCTTCTTCTTCCTTTTTTGGTTGAAATGAACTTGTTTGTCACTGAGTTAGTTTATTGTGCCAACCTGGCCGATAAATACATGTGGGGTTAATTGAAGGGCGCAGGGATAAATGGCTCAGTGAGCCTCACCTTTTGAGTTCTCGGGTCTCTTGCTTTCTGATGGTCAGACCAAGGTGCAGCTGCCTTAGCCAGTTCCCTGCTTCAGCTGGCTAGGCTCACTTCCTGCAAGACATCCCTGAGGAGAAGCTGCATGGACCTACCCCGATGCAGCCCTGGGTGCTGGAGCAGCCATGTGGAGACCCCTGCCAGCGATGAGATGCTTACACGTTCACTGACTAAGCTTTCCTCCTGCAGTCGGCATCATTGCATCTGTTTTGTGAGATGGAGGAAGACTTTGTGGATTGGTGTCAGACATATGGGTTAATGTTGGACTTGTGGGCTTGGGCAGCACTGGGTTGGGATGTTTTCTTGATGTGCACTTAACCTTTATATAAAACTCTCTCTTATACATGAGTTTCTGTGGATTTGTTTCTCAAAAGTACCCAGACTAACACAGTCACTTAAGACTCCAAGTCCACTTCAGGTTTGCCTTTCCTCCTTTCTTAAAACAACTTTTTTTTTTTTTTCAGATGCCTGTGATTCAACAGAAGTGCCCTTTGCATGCAGCACAGCCAACTATGAAGGAGATGAGACCTTGGTGGAAGTCTCCATGGGGTGAGCTGGGGGAGGACAAGGGCCTAGCCTTTGATTTGCAGGCCTCTGAACCTCTGCAGGACCCCTGGACTGTAGCTTCCACATTGCAAACCTGCAGCAGACCCCCCTGCCTATGGCAACTGTGAAGATTTAGTGACAAGGCCCGTGGACAACACTAGCAGGTGGTCTGTGTAGAGTAGGTGGTGGCTTCTGCCATTAGAGTCCTGTTTAAATTATGGAGTTCAGAGAAGCCTGGTGTGAGAAGAGGGCAATAACCATCCTGTTTAACCAATGAACATCTAGTGTTGCTAAGACAGAGATACCACAAGGGAATGCTTCAGCAAACAGACATTTATTTCCTCACAGTTTAGGAACTAAAAGTCCAAATTCAAAGAGCTGGCTCTAGGGGAAGGCTCTCCCTCTCGGTCAGCTCAGAAGGCAGGCCCTTGTCTCCTTTCAATCCAGCATTCTGCTTTGGACCCAGTGTCCCTTGGAGAGCTACATCTGCCTCCTCGCTCTTCTGGGTCTAGGAAGTTTTCAGCTCAGAGACTGTGGGTCCAAAGTTTGTGATCTGCTCTTCCCTCTTCTTTCTTGATGTTAGTCTCCTGCCTCTCTCAGCGTCTTTGCTCTCTTATCTCTTGTAAGATAAAAGGTGATCCTGGGAATTTCCCCTTACATAGATAGGATCAGGGCTGTGACCTGAATAAAGGTGTAGAATCCTAACAGAATCCCTTTATAATGAATTGACAGAACATATCAGATCACATCATGGAGGAGGATCACATCATTGCATAACTGCCAAACCACTGAGAATCATGGCCCAGCCAGGTTGACACAGATTCTGGGGACATGCAATTCAATCCAAAACACTGCCTTGGAAGAAACCTGGTTTCAAGACTATTAGGAAAATACATTCTAGATGTTTCCAGGAGAGGTGCACAGCCTTCCAAAAGGGATTGTCCATACCCACAATTCCTCCCATAATCCAACTGCAGAGTTTCTATCTAGCAGGTTGGAAATCATTGCTTTTTTTGTGCTACATTTATGCTCAAAGCACAGCACTCCTGCTGCGTGCTTGCTTCTTCTTCTTCTTTAGATACTGACCCAGTTTGAACAATATCCTAGCATACAAGAACAAAGAAGCTTGCAATATGGAAACATAGGTGAACAATGGAGAAAGGACTGCCCCTGTTATCACAGCCCATGAACATGCAGCTTTCGTGTGACCCGCACCCGCAAACCTCCAAACACACTTCTCTAGATTCCAGCCCACAGGCAGGCAGAGCAGAAGGAGGTCCAGGCCTAGAGGGCTCTTTGCCTCCCGTACCACAGGATCCCTCCGACCTTTTCCGTGTCTACATGTACCCTTCATGTACATCGATGGCATTCTCTGAGTTGGGCAACCATCCTCACTCTTCTGAGTTGATCTTCCCTCGTTAGCAAATCCGCTACGGCCACAGGCTGCTAGCATAGCTTCCCAGTTGCCATTATTAATTTAATCTCATGTGGTTCTCAAAAGAGCTTAATGCTCTAGGCAGGCATTTTTCACTAGTTAAGCAAAACTATTATTCGGTTGTAAGGAGACTTCAGGGAAGACTTTTGGTTAAAGTTGTAAAATGTCTCACAGGACCCCAGTGTCAGGGGTGCATCCAACCTTTATGGCTCCAGAAAGTCTGAAGTCCAAGAGAATTTGAATTCTGTTCTATATTGCCCTCCTTTTGATTGGGATTCTTCATTAGAATCTTTGATCACCATGTTCAGTAATGGTAGCTGGGCAGCATTCAGTTCTGGTCTCAGAGCAGAGGAGACAGCAGTGTAGGGTTAGTTAGCCACACATTCCATTTTCTCCTCCAAATCCTGGCTCTACTTCTTTCTCTGTGTTTCAGACATCCAGAGACCAAAGTTGGATGGCTGCTTGCAAGCTTTTACGATCCTTGGCACTTCACAACAAACTAAGAGGCAAAACAGAAAGACTAAACACGTTACGATTAGGCCCATTAACTGGGCTGTCCCATGAAACCATGATCCTAAACCTCTAAACCAGTGTTTTTTCAACCTTCCTAATGCTGTGACCCTTTAAGACAGTTCCTCATGTGGTGGTGACCCCCCTATCATAAAATTATTTTCATTGCTAATTCATTGTTGTAATTTTGCTACTATTATGAATCGGGCGAACCCGGTGAAAGAGTCGTTCAACTCCCAAAGGGGCTGTGACCCACAGGTTGAGAACCATTGCTCTAAACCAAAGCGCCAAATCCCAGGAGGTCTGTGGTTCCATAAGCAGCCTCAGCAGTGACTTTTTTTGGGGAGGGGGGGTGAGTAATAACAAAAGCATGCTATAGAATTGGCATTTATTCAGAGCCTTCTCACATGGGATGCGTGTCGGGAAAGCACCCCGTTGCCCCTAGAGATTCAGCTAGACCGATGGGTGACCAGTGGTATTCTTTGCCGTTAGATGGCGAGTACACAAGAAGTCCACTCACAGAAGGTCAAGTACAAATGCCTTGCAATCCTTGCAAGCAGGGACTTCAACAGAAACACGTACACCCACGGTCATGGCAGCACTATTCACAATGGACAAAAGGTAGAAACAGTCCAAGTGTCCATCAGGAGACAACTGAATAAGCAAAAGGTCATATAGCCATACCAGGGAGTTTTATTCAGCCACAAGGAAAAATGACATTCTGAAAAATGCTGTGACATGTATACCCCTTGAAGGTATTGTGGTGAGTGAAATAAGTCAGGCACAAAGCGTAGATGATATATGTTGCTGGGCTGATGAAATAGTTAGAAAAGAGCTGCATGAGACAAAAGTGGCTTAGTGGTTATCGGGGACTAGGGAGGTTCGAGTGGGTGGGTAATTATTACTTAAGGACTGCTGAGTTTCTGTTTGGGGAGATGACAAACGTGTGGGAATAGTTGGTGGTAATGAGGGCATGGCAGATGAATGTGATTAATGTGACTGAATTCTACACTGAAGAGGATTAGGATGACAATGTTTTGTTATAGGTACGCATTATTTTACCACCAGACAAAAATGCTTAGTAATCGCCTGGTAGAGAGAGAGAGAGAAGAGTGAGGGGATGCCCTTAGACTGCTGATGGAGTGTAAATTAGAACAACTTTTTGGAAAGTAATTCGGCAGTTTGTGCCAAGAGTCTTAGAAAGCTCATGATTAAGAGCACAGGCTTTTGAGTCACACTGAACTAGGTTTAATTTTGGTGGTTCAAACCCACCAGTCATTCGGTGGGAGAACGATGAGGCTGTCGGCTTCTGTAGATTCACAGTCTCAGAAACGCTATATTGGAGTTGACTCAATGGCAGTGCGGTGGTATCATGACTTTAAAGGACCCCTGGGGTGGTGTAGGTTAGGCATTGAACTGCTAACTAAATAGTCAGCAGTTCAAGTCCATCAGCCACTTGGCAGGCGAAAGATGAGGCTATCTGTTGCTGTAAATATTAAGTTGAAGAAACCCTATGGAGTAGTTCTACTCTGTCCTGTAGGATTGCTAAGGGGTTCAGTATCATGGCTTTGAGCACGTTACTTATTTTTTTCTTTTACTTTCTTTGGACACCAGTGAAATGAGAGTAACACTACTGACTTTACAGCGTTGGTTTGAGCATTCAGTGCGATAATGTAAAAATGAAAAAAAATCTGTTGCATGGACTCCAGAAATGTAATACCTATAGTAATATTAAGTGAGGCTTCCTGGCGTGGGGTACCTCTGGGTATTTAATTCAGGAAGTTGGGCTCACTGACCCACAGACCTTGAGCTGAATGCCGCTGAGGTGAGGCTTACAGCAGAGTACAGACAGTATGCCCTACGGGGCTTTTATTAGCAGACCTGTGACTCTGTAGCACAGACTGGTAAACATTTCTACCTGACGTTACAACTTGTCAACCTCTCCATTAAACCCTTTCGTTGTGAATTTTGTCTGCGAGGTTCTGTGTAGCCATTGCAACGAATATCCGGTCCCCAAGAAGAAAGTAGAAAACATTAAGACATCGCAACACTTTTGTTGAATTCTCACCACAGCACTGCTATGTGTCCTATTCGACAGATGCAGAAACAAAGGTTCAAGCAAAGTGAGGTATGGTGACCTGCCTCGGGTCCCCTGGGCAGCCCTTGGAGGAGCCCGGTTTGGGATCCGACAGTCCATGTGAGGTTGTGCCCTGTACTGTGGCTGGTGAAGAAGGAGTCAGAGAGGGGCGCTCTGTGGATGTGGGCTCTGGTTGACAGTGAGCCAGGGCATTTCATGCTGTCCGAAGTCGCAGGTGCATGAGCATTAGGAATAGAGGTAATATCACTTGGACTTGGCAGTGAAAATGGGAAGGAAAAAAAAGCGCTGAGAAGGAAGAGACATCACAAGGCAAAAGTGGCTTCCAGATTCCCAGCCTGGGGGCAGCTGAGGTTCCTGGAAGGGAGGGGAGGGGAGGTCAGGTCGGGTGAGAAGGTAAAAAACCCTGCCTAAGTTTTGGCGAGTTCCCATTCCACACCTTCACAGGGGGGCCCTGTGCCAAGACTAAGAACGTCTTGTTTCTCTAAATCACGTCTTAAGCTTGTGAGAGAAGCAGGCTGTGAGTTTGCACCGGCACATCCCCCCAATTTGGTGCCTGTGCTGTGAACTGGTGGAACGCTAAGGCTTTGGCCTCTGCAGCCCTCCGGCTGGCCCCATCACGCATTTGCCCTTTGACCCACAATTCAGAGCCCAAACAGCCTTCTGGCTTCGTTTTGTAATATTCCCAAGAGACGGCTTTGGAAACCAACCATTGCAGGGTCAGACACCGCTTGGCCACAGTCCAGGACCCGTCTGGTAACAACAGGTAACAGAAATCCAGGTCAAACCAGCTCACACTGAAGAGGAAACCGTCTTCTAAGGGTGCTGGAGGGTTCTAAGCAACACAGAGGAGAGCAGCTGGGCCCACAGCACACCAAAGAACCCAGATGTCACTGCCTTGGGACTCTTCTTCCCTCCTAACTTTCTCTACTTGCCTGATTCAGCTTCTCTATCCGCCTTGCA